ATGCTCTGGTGCCTCTCCTCCGGCTCGCCAAAACCTTGGTCTGCATGGCAACAGAGGAACCCACCTCCAGGGCGGGTGGAAGGGCGACAGCAACAGGGATGGGCCCAAAATGGGGCTTGGTTGTCCTTTGCAGTGGCAGGGGTGGGTCTGCTCCCGGGCGTGGGGTGCTGATGGACGCCACACTGAAGAGAACCCCATGGCCCCCAGAGCCGGGCGCTTTCCCCGGGACACGGTGCCACCGGAGAGCTGGCCCCTGGGGAGGGCAGGCCCTGCTGCCACCCCCGTAAGGTCCCAAAGCACCAAACCACGTCACTTGTCATGCCCACGTTATTTTGGAAAGGTACAGGGAGCAAAGAAAGTCCCTTCCCCACCTACAGCAAAGCGATTGCAAAAAGAGCATCATTCGCGTGTGCTGTCCGCCCACCAGCCCCAGCCCCGGGCGGCAAGGAATGACTCCGCTCCCGGCACGACCGGCGTGGCTCCGGAGGTAGAGCCACGCTCCCCAGCTCTGCAAGGCTCGGTCCGATCCAGCCTCGCCACGTCCCTGCTGTGAGTCAGGACCATGTCACGGGGCCGGCGGCAGCGTCGGGGCTGTGCGAAGCCGGCTGCCCAGCATCCCCCTGCCCGGGGGAGCAGCTGGGGGACGCAGCCGTGACTCACGTTGTACCATGTTCTCCCGTCAGCGCAGGAAAGCACAAGCTCGTCACCTCCCAAAGGCCATTTACTAACGAGGAGCATTAGTAAATGACCCCGTGGGGTGGTCTCAGAGCACCTTCTGGGGCGTGAGGAACCAAGCTGCAGCTGAGGGGCCCAAGCCCACCAGTTGACCCTGTAGCCAGAGGGGATAGTGACTGGTACGTGCGCAATTCATCCCATACTCCGAGGCTTTCAGCAGCCACAACCCCACAGGCACCAATAAGTGACCAGTGCAGGTACCCCCTAACGGGGTCTACACCCGAGGCTTTCAGCAGCCACAACCCCACAGGCACCAATAAGTGACCAGTGCAGGTACCCCCTAACGGGGTCTACACCCCAGAAGTGCTTTTTGGTTTGCGTAGAGGACAGGGAAGGCACCGGCTGGGCGCGGGTG